AGCTAACGCTAAAGCTCCTGGTGAAACCAGTGAAAGATTTAAAGGCCCATTAAAATAAAATTTCTCCCCAACACAACCCGAGACCTCAGGAGGGATGATTCCTCCGCCGAGAGAGGATCTTCTCCTGTCGCAGATCCGGTTCGTGTGGTCGGTCGGAGGCGCGGCCGGGGGCGCCGTGTTCTCCGCGCCCGACGGCAGCCGCGCCTTCAGAGTTGACCTTGAGAATGGCATGCCGACGCGGCGCACCAAGGGGCTCAAGAGGATCAACATCGCGTGGAAGACAAAGGCCAACAGGCTGTCCAGAAAGACGATCTTCCTCCCCGCGGGAGCGAGAGACGTCGAGGCTCACTACGTCTACCACGGTCCTCCGGCGCAGGACGCACGTGAAGGCCCTCCTCCCGAAGATGAGGCTGTGGAGGAGGTTGCTGCTGCTGAGGGTGTGGCTGTGGAGGAAGTTGCTGCTGCTGAGGATGTAGCTGGCGATCCAGAAATCGCTCGTCTCTACGGCATCCATCCCCCGCAGGGGCAGCGCTTCACAGACACAGGTGTTCCGCTCGTCGACATCGGGTCCTTTCTGCGTGACGGAATGAAATGCATCGGCGAGGGAGCTTACAGCTTTGTGTATGCCATCAGTCGACCCGGCTTGCCTCCTGTGTGCGTGAAGAAGTTCAAAAGACCATTCCGCCGGTACCACTACGAGGAGGCCGAGACTCTGCACGCCCTGAGAAAGGTTCCTGGACTTCCCAGGCTGGTGGGGCTGTCTCCCTCCCCCGCCGCGGTGGTGATGACCTACCACGGGCCCCTGGAATTCCATAAGTGGATCTGCAAGCACTTCGACCTGGACGAGTACCTCGAAATCCTTCTGGCCCTCAGCACCATCCTGCACGGCCTCCACACCGCGGGCTTCACGCACAACGACCTCAAGGGCGACAACGTAGTCGTCGACAAACGCAACGTGCCGACCCTGATTGACGTGGGTCTTGTGTCGTTCATCAACAGCCGCCCTTATGGGTACAACGCGACTAAGAAAACACGCCACCTCGAGAACGTGCGTGCGAGATAACACGGCCACTTGGCCCCCGAGATCTACCGCGGAGGGAGAGCTCAACCCAGCGCCGACGTCTACTCCTTCGGCAAGATCCTGCACAGGACCTTCTAGATGGTCAACCACGAGTGCGTCCCTGAGCTCATGTTCGTGATGAGGGCGAGCACGAAGCCCAAACCTGAGCTTCGCCCGGAGCTCCCGCAGATCACGTCGCTGCTCGCCCGCGCGATCAAGGAGCGGCAGGCCAGGCGGGGCGCGGGCGGCAAAGGCGGCGGCTGGCTGAGGCGCTGAAGCCTGCCCTGCCCAGCACCTTAGAGCCTTGAAGTATTGTCTTCAAGAAGCAGCCTACTAAGGCCTGCCTCCCCACGGCCACCAATGCATCCCAAGGCGCGTCCACATGCCGGTTGGCCATGACGTCGTCCCTTTAGAGCCTACATACACGCACAGTGTGTCTATGCGTGTATGTAGGCTCTCTCTCTCTGTGTGAATACTCTCTGTGAGAGTGCATTATGTATACATACACACAGTGTGTGTCTGTGCGTGTATGACGGCTCTATCTCTCTCTCTCTCTGTGAATACTCTGTGAGAGTGCATTATGATGTATACATACACACTTGTGTCTGTGCGTGTATGACGGCTCTATATCTCTCGGTGACTACTGTGAGAGTGCATTCACATGTGTGTGTCTGTGCGTGTATGTAGAGAAGAGAAGAGAAAAGAGAGAAAAGAGAAAAGAGAGAAAAGAGAAAAGAGAGAGAAGAAAAGAGAAGAAAAGAAGAAAAGAAGAAAAGAAGAAAAGAGAAAAAGAAAAGAGAAGAGGAGAGTGTATGTATACATGTGAACACTCTCACAGTGTATTCACAGAGAGAGAGAGAGCCTACATACACGCACAGACACACACACTGCGTGTATGTATACATGTGAATGCACTCAAAGAGAAGAAGAAAAAAGAGAAGAGAAGAGAAGAGTGTGTATGTATACATGTGAATGCACTCACAGAGTGTATTCACAGAGAGAGAGAGAGAGAGAGAGAGACTACATACACGCACAGACACACTGTGTGAAATGTATTCACAGAGAAATGTATTCACACATGCACGCACAGACACACACTGCGTGTATGTATACATGTGAATGCACTCTCAAAGTGTGTATGTATACATGTGAATGCACTCTCAAAGTGTGTGTATACATGTGAATGCACTCTCAAAGTGTGTATGTACACAAAAGCACTCTCAAAGAGAAGAAAAAAGAGAAGAGAAGAGTGTGTATGTAATGTGAATGCACTCTCACAGAGAGTGTATTCACAGAGAGAGAGAGAGAGAGAGAGCCTACATACACGCACAGACACACTGTGTGAAATGTATTCACACAGAGAAATGTATTTACACATGCACGCACAGACACACACACTGCGTGTATGTATACATGTGAATGCACTCAAAGAGAAGAAAAGAGAAGAGCCTACATACACAACAGACACACACACACTGTATATATATATATATATATATATATATATATATATATATATATATATATATATATATATATATATAGTGTATATAAGAGTGCATTCACATCTGAGAGTGCATTCACATGTATACATACACGCAGTGTGTGTGTCTGTGCGTGCATGTGTAAATACATTTCTCTGTGTGAATACATTTCACATAGTGTGTCTGTGCGTGTATGTAGGCGCGGCGATGTTCCGCGGTTGCCGCCACGACGCCCTTCTGTGACGCAGCCGAAGATTGATAGACAGCAGCAAGCGAGGCTACGGGGCCTTCTGCGGCGCCGCCCGCGCCCCGCGGAGACAGACTTGGCCTCC